AAAAAAATTTTTAGTTGTAGATGGACACAATACCTTTATTTTGTTTATTTATTTTTTATATGGTGCTGAGGATCAAACCCAGTGTCTCACACATTAGGCTAGTGCTCTACCACTGAGCCTCAACCCCCCCTCCCCCGTTCATGCATATGCTAACACACACTCATATTGATACTCACAATTCCCCTGCATGCTGAAATTTTAATTCCATATTATACATACATACACTGGTCTTGTTTTGATGTCTAGATCCAATGTGTTGAGTGTTTGGAGCACTTCAAGCCATCATGGGGCTATGGGAACATGGGTCCTGCCTGTTGTCCCCCATCCACCCTTTAATATCTGATCCACTTCTATTTGAAAAGCTCACAGAGTGCCCTAGGGATCTAACCAGTCACCATCTAGATCCACCTAAGTCATGGTCAGCTATGTTTCATCAGGGCCCATAAGCCAGTGACCCTGGGTTGTGATCACTTTGGCAGTTAGTGTACCCCATAGCCTATCTGAAACTTACCTCACACATACCCCATCATTTTAACCCTGCCAAAGTTGTTCCCTCCATTCCACCCTGTCCCTTGCCTAAAGGAAGCAAAAAACTCGGCTGGAATATCCATGAGATTTATTGAAGAGAAACATTTACAGAAACCATTGAAGAGAAGGGATGACAACACCTAAAGGGACTCTTCACGACCACTGGAGGCCACAGGCCGGCCCGCCCCCCCTCCTGGGGCTGCAGAGGAGGAGCCTCCTCTGTCTCCACGCTGGGGCCCTCCCACCACAGCCTCCCTTTCTGAGGACCCAGATGTGCCTCTTGCCAGGACAATGGCCTCTGGCAATGAACACTCACTTCCATTCCGGGAGCCCCCTGAGGGGCTGACTTGCTGTGGGGTGGCCCTTGCCCTGTGGCTGGCACAGAAGGGTCACAGGACACTGGAAAGCATAACAGGGAACACCCCCCCCCCAAGCCAAGGAAACTGAGTCACAAGGAACAACGGGGGTGGAACGTCAAAGCACAGTCCCTGGCCCTCCCCCTCCATCTAAGGTCCAGTGCTTCCTGCCCGAGGGGAGGCCGCGGTCTTGATCACCGAGGGGGTGAGCGTCCACCACGCCCTCGCCGTCCATCCTTCCCGCCGGCTCCCGTCTCCGACTCCTGGGGACTGGGCTCAGGGCCTCCTGGGAGGAGCTGCTCAGAGAAGAACACACACACATCTCCACGAGAACAAGCGGCAGGCAGCTGGCCTAGATCTACACCGAGAAAGCAGAGGTTGAGCTCACGACACTGGACAGGAGCGAGCAGAGCCTTGGCTCGCCCGGAAGCTCACGGCACGTGCCCGGGCCTGGAGGTGGTCGGCCGCGAGGGCGCGGTCCTCTGCCCGGGGCTGACACACACCTCACGGCTTTGCACAGGAACTTTGCACAGGAACGATGGCTAGCGTGGGGGTGGGCGTTTGCCTGAGGTGGGTCACTATGGGGCTTACAGATAAGGCGGGCTTCCAGGGACAGGGACAGGAGCACCCTGTCCCGGGGACGGTGAATCGGGTTGGGGTTTTGCCTGCTGGGAGAGCCAGGCAGCTGGCACCCTTGAGATGGACTCTCTTCCCCGACGTCTCCCAGTCCAGTGCAGGTGGCAGGTGACCTCAGCCCATCCCCCCACTTCTAGGCCTGCAGCCCTAGACTGGCAGGGTTTGGGTTTGGGGTTGGGGCTTCCATGAGGAGGGGCACCTCTCCTTGCTCCATCTGGTGGCAAATATGGTCTTTGGGGTCACTGGAAAAGTCTGGTGGTGGTGGTGGCCAGGGCCCCTTTGGGGAGCTGGGGGGATCCAGGGGCTTGGTTTGGGCTGGGTGAGCCCTTCCCTGGGCCCTGCTCCTGATGTGGGGTGAGGGTAGGCCCTGGCGCGAGTCCTGTCCCTCCCTCCAAGGCTCTGCTGCCTGAGAGGAGAGGAGCCCCTGGGCCTTCTGAGCCTATTCACCTGGGGCAGACTCGGGGTGGCCAGTCTCCCCAGCCCCATCCTCATTTCCTGACTCCTCTGGGATGTCCTTGAGCCCCTCCAGCAGGGGCTCCTCAGCTTCCTGCTGTTCTGCCTGGGCCAGGCTCTCTGGCCCACAACCAGGCCCTCCTGGGCTGGCATCAGAAGCACTGCCCATCTGAGCTGGGGCGGGGCCTCCTGGGGCCTCAGTGGGTCCTGCCTGGCCTGGGCCCGCAGGAGCATGATCATTGCCTTGGTCTTCCCTTTGCCCCTCCTCCTCCTCCTCCTGCTCCTCCTCCACCACCACCTCTTCCTGCTGCTGTTGGTCCACCTCCTCTTCTTCCTTCTCCACCTTCTCATCCTCTGCATTAGCATTGGCCCTGGCATCCGCCTGGGCATCAGCGGGGGCACCAGCCCCTTCCTCTGCCGGGGCCCTCACGCTCCGGGCTAGACTGGCCTCCCATGCCTCAGACTCGCGAACTAGCCCCAGCATTTCCAGGAATGTGGGAGACCTCCCAACCATTCTCAGCTTCCTCAGGGCTTCATCCAGAGGCTCGATCAGGTTGGCCCTGGTGAGCACCTGCCTCAGGCGCACGTGGTCAGCGGAGGCCCTGGCCAGGGCCCCCTTCTCGATGGCTTTCTGCAACAGGACTTCCAGCCGCAACACAAAGGTGGAGAGACGCTCGCCTGACCGCTGCTGAGCAGTCAAACACTTCACCCGGATGGTGGCCTGGGACTCGTTGTCTCCAAACACCTGGATCAGGGCCGCCAGGCAGTCCTGCGCAGTCCTGGCGGGATTCTCCGCCAGGAGCCCATGCACGAGCTGCAGGGCAGTCCCTCTCAAGCCTTCGATCAGCCTCCTCCTCCTCTCCCTTTCAGAGACCCCCTGCCACACATGCAGCATGTCAGTGGTGTGGTCTAGCCAGGCCTCAAAGGACTCCTCCCCAGGGGCTGGCTGGTCCCTCCCGGAAAACACGCCCAGGCGCTGGTACCTCACGGTTTCCACCCAGGGCTGGATCGCCTGACTGACAGATCGGAGCCAGCACACCCTGCGCAGCCCCAGACCCAGGGCACCGGCCACGCTTTCCACTGTCTGCCCCTGTTGCTCCAGGAAGTGGAGCACGCGACCGAGAAACTCCTCGCCTGAGCAACGGGGCACAAAGACCACGTTCCAGGGGCCCCCGGTGCCTGGGATTTCCCTAGGGACCAAAGCATAGTTGACTTCCCGGTCGAGCTCGACCAGGGCCGCAGTGGCGTTATCCTCCTCGCGAAACACTTTGCCCAGTACGGTAAAGTGGCCCATAGGCCACAGGGCAGCCTCCAAGGACTCTTGGAATTCAGCTTCATCACAGTCCTCCGGGATGCCCAGGATGAGCAGGCCCCTGCGAGCGTTGACGCCCATCCACCTGCACCAGTCCTGCAGCATCGTCACCGCCATCGCCCACAATTTCGGCCCACGCGGGGCTGATATTAGGGGCTGACCAGGCTGGCACTAGGGGAAGACACCCAGGGGCGGGAGCCTAGGAATCAGGGAGAGCAGCCCAGGTCTCCACAACCTGTGAATGCGAACGGGGCGACAGCGAGGTTAATGCCCAACCCCCCACTCCCACCCCAGCCGCCCCTCGTGCCCCGACCCCCGCCCCACCCCGCGAGGGTTCCCGCGGGCCACAGCACCCTCCCACGCCGCCCCCCGCCCCGCGGGCTGCTGTGGCTGGGCCGGCGCGGGCGGAGGGCCGCGGGGTCTCCCTGGCCCGAGCGGCCCCTCCCGGGGTACGGTACCTCCTGCTGGGGCGGGGTCCTCCCTGGTCCGGGCCCCGGCGGCGCGGGCTCCTCCGGGCTGAGCAGAGCGGCGGCGGCGGGGTCGGTCGCCCCTCGTTCCCTCGCCCTGTCGCTGGCTCTGCGTCCAGTTCTCGCTCTCCCGGCGCGGCACGTGGGCCAGTGCGCCGGCGCCTGCTCGCCACCGCTCTCTGCAGTGCGGACGCGGGGCGGGGGCGCGGTGGCGCGGTGGCGGTGGAGCGCGGACCCTCCGCGTCGCCCCGGAGACCGCCGGGCCATTGGCGCGCACGGGTCACGCGGCCGGGCTGTCGCCGCCGCCGCGGGCACCCAGGGACCGCGGGTGACGTCACCTGCTCCTCCTCCCTCCCCCGCCTCCGCCCTGGCACAGGTGGAGCCCCCCCCCGGGGGGGAGGGGGTGTCTGGGTGTCGGTGTCTGGAGACCCCACGCCTTTGGCTCTCCCCACCCGGTCCGTCTGGGTCCAGCCCTGTCCCCTGCTCCTTCTGGATGTGCCCTCGGGGCGCCAGCACGGCGAGGGGGCTGCGCCCAAGGTGTCCTCTAGGAAGCGGCCTGGGGTGGGCCCACCAGCTCTGCGTTCTGGCCAGGGGTGGGGAGCAGGCTCTCAGGGGCTTCTTTGCCTGCAGTCCTTGATTCCATCCCCACCCAGGATAGGATTGTTCTGGTCTCTGGGCCAGGCCAGGGCACCAGGTCCAGGTGTGATTCCATGAAGTAGATACGTGCGGGAATGTGTGCTCACCATGCCACCCCGCCGAGGGTCCACCATCTATCTATCTGGCACTGCCCATCCCACTGGAGCACGATGGGTATACCACAGGCCTATGTGCTTCACTGCCCTCGCATAGGAGGGTGACCTAGCTCCTGGGTTTGCCCAGGCCTTTCCTGCTGTGCCGGCTGCAAGACCCAAGACCCAAGGCTCAAGAACCAGTTTCTGCGGCTTTGAACCAGTTTCTTCTCCTTGGGCCTGTATTATCTTACTGCCTGTCCTTTGGTGAGTCCCTGCCTCTTCTTGTCAGAGACATAACCGGGGTCTCTGGGGCCTCTGCCTAAGTGTGTGTAAGGAGAGGCATTCAGCTGGGAGGAGGGTGCTCAAGTCCCCACCCCCCCTCCACAGCTTGATGAGCTTGGGGTGAGGGGGCGTTGCTCTCTGTTTTAGTCAGGTTTTTCTCTGCTGTGACTAAAGGACTCGATCAGAACAAGTGTAAGGCAGTTAATGTTTATTTGGGGGCCCTTCATGGTTTCAGAGGTCTCAGCTATGGATAGCCGGGTCCAATCCTTGGGGCTCAAGGTGAGGTAGGACATCATGGCAGAAGAGAGTGGGAGAGGGAAGCAGCTCACATGGTGATCAGGAAGGGGGGGGGGGGGGGGGAGAGAGGGAGAGAGGCAGCCACCACTCTCCAGACACAAAATATATACCCCACAGCTATGCCTCAATTCCCGCCTCCTCCAGCCTCACCCTACCACTTCAGTTACCACTCAGTTAATCCCGATCAGGGGATGAATTCACTGGTTGGCTTAAGGTTCTCACAACCCAACCATTTCTCCTCTGAACCTTCTTGCACGGTCTCACTTCCAAACCATAACACTCTCTTGGCCCGGAGGGCAGCATGGTTGTCCGACCACCCCTGAGGCATTTGGGGCATTTGGGCTGTTCCCAGTGTAGGGCTGTTACAGACACTGCTGCCTCCCAAGTCCCACGTGCCTCTCTGAGCCGCCATCAGTGAGGCAGGCTCCAGGGTGTACACAGCTGTTGTCAAGAAGTGGCTATGCTGGGTCTTGGGTTGTACCCATCACTGCCATGACCATGTGCTACTCACTGGTTTTCTCCCGTGAAAGGCTAAATCTGTGTTCCCTCCCACCCGCAGCATGGCAGTGTCCTTGCAAGCCCCAAGGCCTGAGCAACCTTTGGTCTCGTTCAGCCTTGACCGTTTGCCCATCCCAAGGGGAGAAACACTACCTGGTCATCATGTGCCTTGCATTCCCTGAGTCAGTGGCGAGGTTGGGAATCCTCCCACAAGTTCACCGGACACTCCCTGTTCCTCTTCCGACAATCTTCTTTACTCCTCTCCTCCCCATCCCAGAGACATATTGTTGGCCTGTTTCCAAGAGAAAGTTGCTAGCGTCAAGGTCAAAGGCATTCTCATTTTGAACACTCAGCCATTGTCCAGAAGCACGTCACATTGGAGTTGGCCTCGTGGTTGGACTTTGGCTTGCCCTTGCTCCCCAGGTGTTTCCACCCCTTCTGGGGGCCGGGAGTGGTAAAAGCTAGGGGTTATGGTTTGGATATGAGGTGCCCCCCACAAAGCTCCTGTGTCAATGCAGGAATGTTCAGAGGGGATGCCATTACGTTATGAGAGCTATAACCTAATCCATGGATTAATCCATCTGATGAGTTAATAATTTGAAAGGACTGCTGTACTGGGTGGTAACTGTAGGCAGGTGAGGCATGATTGGAGGGGGTGGGTCACTGGGGGCTGTGCCCTTGGGGACGATATCTTGTCCCTCTGGCTTCTCCGTCTGTCTCTCTACTTTCTGGCTGCCACAAAGTGAGCAGCTTTCCTCCACCTCACCCCTCCACCATGACGTTCTTCCTCACTCTCAGGCCCAGAGCAAGGGAGCTGGCTGGCCGGCCATGGACTGAACCTCTGAAAATGTGACCTCAAAACAAACTTTTCCTCCCCTAAGTTGTCACTGTCAGGTGTCTGGTCCACAGTGACTTAAAAGCTGACTAACCCACTGTGCAAATGAAGAAACAGGTGTCTTCTCTCACAAACCAGCTTCCTCTGCTGGCTTCATGTGTCTGCTCCCTCCCCTTCTCCTTCAGGACCTACACTGCTTGTTCTGATACAAGCCACTATTGCTCTTAACACCCACCGTGAGAATTTCTGTCTCCTTGACCTCAGTGTTAGACTCGCCATGGCTTACACCACATGCCACCCTCTTTCTTGGTTTCAGCCATGATGTTTCTGGGGTCCTTCTCTAGGGAGAGCACTCCCAGGAGATATTCTTGGGGTGGGTCTAGTGTCACCAACTGGCCCAGCATTTGTCCTGTTTTCAGCCTCACCTCTTTCTACTCTCCCTCTCTTCCCACCTTCTCCCTCCTTCCCTTCCCTGCTGACTCCAAGTCCAAGACTCTGGCTCTGTCTGGGGTATGGGTGTGGGCTCATCTCCCTGCATCCTCACGGGGGCTTGAGCTGTGACACCTCAGCTGTCTTTCCTTTGTCACTTCTCTGCCCCATTGTCTCCACCTCTCAGCAGGCTTGGCTCTCCTGGCTTCCCCAACCCCTTTCCTTCCCTGGTTTCTGGAACCACCCATTCCTGCCCTTCAGATTGACCTCCTCCCTCTCTGCTGGCTTTTACTTTGTTTGTCCTTGGACCTCCCCTGCCCAACCCCTTTTCCTCCTCCTCATTTGCTGGGGCTCAGCATGGTGGAGGAGGGTTCCCAGGCTCAGCCCAGGGACATTCAGTGCCTCTAAGGGACCTTCCGTGTCTGGATACAAGCCCTCCCCTGAGCTCCACACATGTGCATCAAACTGCCCACTTGGATGCCCCCTGGGGATTTCGGAATTCAGGTGTGCAAACTGGAGCGCTTTGCCCCTCTCAGTGCACTTGCTCCTTCCCCAGATTTCCCCAGCTGCGTCACCACCAGATAGGGCTCCTCTTCCACCTGCTTGCTCAAGCTAAGATGGATGGCAGGATTCCTTCCCTCCTCCCCTTTATTTCTCACCCCCAGATCCAACCTGTCCTAGTCTCTTCTCTACTCCCCAATCCCCATGGCAGCTGGGGAGATCTAGCTCTTGGCAACACCACCAGACCCTGTTCTTCCCCTTGAGGTGTACTCCCCCTGGGTCCCCATCTCCTTAGAGTGAACCCAAGGTCCCCATCCTTGTCAGCGGCCCTGCCCCACCCCTCACAGTTGGCTTTCTCTTAGGGTCCTCCTCCCCTGCCACTGTTCCCGAGCCCCTCTCATCTGATGCCTGCTGAATTGGCCCTTTGGGCTGGCCCCCAGCACACTCAGCTCATCCCTACCTTCAGCCTTTGCCTTCCCTCCTTCCTCTGTGTGCCATGCTCCACCCCACCCCACCCCACCCCAAGAGCTGCCCATGGTGGCAGCCTCCTCTTCTTGAGGTTCTTCCTCCTCCTGGCTCAGCAGATCCTCCCCCTCCTCCCACGGACTTCCTCTGCCTGGCCACACTAGTGGACCTCAGAATCCTCTCTGTTCATGTTCTTACTGGTGGCACTGATTTGCATGTCACCACCAGATAGATGCTTTCAGGTTTCAGGGGCTCCCTCCCCAGATGGCAAGCTGGCACCCCACCAGAAGGGGACTCGCCTATATGTCCTCGTCCATTTGTGCTGCTGTAACACAACACCGGACTCTGGGTAATTTATAAAGAAAAGATATTGATCTCTCAGAGTTCTGGGCCCAGGGCAGTTCCTCTCTGCCTAGGCTGGGGATTGAGATCCCCTTCACAGCACGCGCAGCCCACCACTGGGCTTGCAGTGAGCTTGCAGCCAGCTAAATTCCGTTGGCATATTTTCTCCCCATGCTTCCTTCCAGCTGCCGGGATCCCCCGCCCTGTGCGTGTGCCAATGGCTCTCCCAACCCAAGGGGTGGGCTCGCTTTCCTCTTTAGGCAGCATCCTGAGGGGGAAGCTGGCTCCTCTCTCCAGGAATCTGCAAGATGCAGACCCTGTCCGAGTCCCCTGCCCCTGCTCTCTCTGCTCTCTGAGCCTGCCAGGCCTGCCCACTGCAGCT